TAATCCTGCTGCCTCGGGACGACTGCACGTTACATCATAGCAGCATGACCAAATAGAGGAAGCAAGCAGCCCCTTGTATAGGGTGGGCGCTAGCGCTTGATATTAGACTAATATAATATTAATTAAGGGCTTTTTCCTATTAAGTTCAGTTGCTCGAGGCCCAAAAATTCTAATACAATCTTGAAGATCTAGTCGAATCATAGAAAAATCTATGGGTTTGTTAGAAATCTATAGTCGGTGTCTGAGCATACGAGTCAGCCTACCCGGAAACCAGGCACGTTGGTCTGCCTTTTTTTTTTTACCTATGTCTGTCAAAGACCCGAAGCCCTATTTTTTTCCCAAGTCTGTCAAGCAGTTTCATTAGCAATTTTTTTGGGAATTATCGACTCGATATGGTATCACCCCATTATCTTCTTTCACATCATGGTGTACAAGGCACATCCTAAGTGGTTTCCTAATTCCTTTTGTTAAAACTCGATAATCCACTTAATACGATAAAAATCTTTCACAGTAAATGAACTATTTCCGACTCTTGAACACATACAGGTACATATTTCAGAAGCAAGGATTGCCACTGCTTTGGACAAGCTGGCTTACATGGAAACTTTGGTTAATGATAGGCTATTGCAAGACAGTAACACGAGGGAATCTAACGTGTCAACCCCTACCCCGAGCACTTCAACAGAATTTATTGACACTGTCAAGAGCAGGCAGCCGAGAAGGAGCATCAATGTGTCCGGTCCTGTCCAACCTTACCATGCCCGTTTGAAGAATTTTTGGTACCCGGTTGCTTTTTCTGCAGATCTGAAGGATGATACCATGGTAAGTGTATTTGATAGAAACTTGTAATTCCTCGATTATACTCCTTGATGTGCACGATTTAGGTTTCTTACATATATACAGAACACCCTCGGTATCTTGGTTGGTCCGAACAATTCAAACTTGTTCGTATTTTACTTTCTTGCTTTTCGTTTCGTCTTCTCTTTTTCTTTCGTCGTAGATTAAGGTTTATTGTGACCGTGTTCTACTGAAATGGTGGTCTTAGGACATCCTAGTTGTCACTTTGGAAGGCTGGAATCTAGTGCATTTTAATGGCATGTTTGGCACACATTGACAGTACATGGACAAGATTTTACCTTCATCTTTTCCTTAATGCTGTCAACTACTGTACTGTTTTTTCTTGCTGATAATAGCTTCGAAAATTTTCACAGGTTCCAATAGATTGCTTCGAGGAACCTTGGGTCATCTTTCGTGGGAAGGATGGAAAACCTGGATGTGTCCAGAATACTTGCGCACACCGGGCCTGCCCTCTTCATCTGGGTTCAATAAACGAGGGTCGCATCCAGTGTCCTTATCACGGTTAGATAAAGATATCTCGATTACCCTTTTACATACTGTATTTATAGCTGATATGGTGACACTGATTCTTTTCACATAATCACTGATGTCAGGATGGGAATACTCAACTGATGGGAAATGCAAGAAAATGCCATCGACTAGATTACTTAATGTAAAAATCAGAGCATTACCGTGCTTTGAACAGGAGGGAATGATATGGATTTGGCCAGGCGATGATCCGCCTGCAGCTAACCTTCCTTCATTACTGCCTCCGTCAGGATTTCAAATACATGCAGAGGTATGTAGTACCTGCAATTGAATATCTTTTCGAACTAGTTTGTTATGGTTTAAACCTTAATCTAAGAGCAATAGTAAATGAAAAAAAAAAAATATATCAAACGAACAAGAACATGCAGATTTACAGATGTTCAATGCAGATCGTGATGGAACTCCCCGTGGAACATGGACTGCTTCTGGACAACCTTTTGGATCTTGCCCATGCTCCATTTACCCACACTTCGACTTTTGCTAAGGGATGGAGCGTTCCCAGGTTGGATTTCAGCTATTTACTTTTAGTCTTTGGTACAGCTTCTGGAAAAATAATTACTTTTAACATCATATTACTTTGAGAAATTTTTCGAAAGATCTTTTTTAAGTGCAAAGTGAAAAATTGCTTTCTTTTTCTTTCAAAGTAATCTTTCTTATTTAATTCATAACATGTTACTTTTACCCTTACTAGAAATAGCCTTCTAGTGAAAGTGTTGCATCCACTCGACCCTTGGTTGAGTTGACGAGTTTATTTCTCAACCCTTAGTTGAGTGCACTACTGGACTATTGACCTTTATTCAAGTGGACGAGTTGTGAATATATCAAAAAGCTAAAATGAATGAAGGAGAAACCTGTTCATTAGGAGGCTCATTTTTCATTTTCACACACAAATTGACTCATTAAGAATTTATCAAAAGTTTAAATACAGATTTTATTTAAATGCCAAGAATTCAAATCATATCTTATCGCCATACAAAGAGGACTTACACATTCTTTGATATTGTTATTTGAATCCACAGCTTGGTGAAATTTTTGACGCCTGCATCCGGTCTGCAAGGATATTGGGATCCCTATCCAATAGATATGGAATTTAGACCACCTTGTATGGTATTATCTACAATTGGAATCTCAAAACCTGGAAAATTAGAAGGGCAAAATACCAGAGAGTGTTCAACTCATCTTCACCAACTTCATGTTTGCTTACCTTCATCAAGACAGAAGACGAGGCTATTGTACAGAATGTCACTCGACTTTGCTCCTGTATTGAAGCACGTTCCTTTCATTCAATACCTGTGGAGACATTTCGCAGAAAAGGTAAAAGCTTTTGTTTCTCAAGATTCACCTTCCATGATATTACTGTCATATTGCGAGAGTTTCGTGTCCTGAGTTATAAGATGTCCAGCATGTTTGACTAAACTTACGAAAAAAGTTACTTATTTTGAAAGTTACTTTTAGTTTACTGTCAAAATAAGTAACTTATTTCCAACAAGTAATTGAGAATTTCTCCTCATTTTGATACTATAAATTAAGCCATTACTCACGGATCAATGAATTTCTGTGTCTCTTTCTATACTCTGTATTTTCTAGTTGAATTCTTAGTGTTAAAATCCAAATCTACAGGTTTTGAACGAAGATCTACGTCTTGTTCTTGGTCAGCAGGAGCGCATGCTCAACGGTGCAAATGTTTGGAATTGGCCAGTGTCCTATGATAAGCTGGGAGTAAGATACAGGCTATGGAGAGATGCAGTCGAGCAAGGATCTAAAAGATTACCCTTTGAGAAATCAGCATAAAATATGTTCAACAAGTAGATTCTATTAGTTCCATTCTCGTTCATACAACATAAGCTCCTGTGCATTTCTTCTACTCAGAATTCCCTCGTTTAAGAAGTCACCGACTGGAGTTTCTGGAGAACTTTGATCGACTCAAGTCGAAGAAATATCGTCTCAACTTACGCCCCTTGTAAAAAGATGACTGTACACTATTTTTTATGTCATTTTTTGTGTACAGTTTTGAACAAAGCCACCCTACTGCCCCTCAGTTCCCCTGTTACCCTTGCTGAAGCCACAAGGGTCATTTTCGTCTTTTACCCCATCATCGAAATGTTTGACATTGTCATTCTATTCTTAATATAGCTGAAGGTTTGAATCTGATAACTGAGACTTAGCATCTTTTGTGTTTAGTGCTTGTTCAAGTTGAACATAAATCGAATTTGAATCGCGCTTCATTAAAGAAGCACAATTCAAATTACGTATTTGCACAGAATATTCTTTTACATAACCCGAGTTTTCACAATGCACCACACGTCTTCAATAACACTGTACATTAAATACTACAACAACTTGTAGTCTAGCACATTAGTACGGCATATATATATATATGTATCTGTAACATATATTGGTTATACCAGGTAAAACATTACATATATTGGCTATAACAGGTAAAACATTACATATATTGGCTATACATGGTAAAACATTTGGTGCGGTGATTTATGCAGGTTTCCAAACTGCGAGCACTTCGTGAAACATCTCGACCATTAGTTCTCTGTCTGCCTGCCTGAAGAAATCGCTCATTTCATCCCGAACATCATAAATCTTCCCAAAATCGAACAAGTACATCAAGCACCCGCGTTTCAGTTTATCAAGCTGGTAAAGCCAAGCCTCTTGCAACCTCTCAAGGACATTTCCCGAGTTAATATCTTCTAGAAGACTTTCCTCACAAGCATCCTTCAAGTCTACAATGTCATACTTGTTTGCCGCACCCAGCAAAGCCAATCGGTGCTTCCAGAAATCTTCTTGGTTTATCGTCCCGTATAAGTAAGTGAGCAGGGCCATGCACGACTCTGTTGACATATCTTCTATGTCAATTGTTGAGGATTCTTTCTCCTTGAGGTCGTGCAAGAACATGCTGCGGAACACCGGAGAGCTTGCAGAAAGAATAGCCTTGTGGGCTTGCAGCGTTCCATCAGCTGTGTTAATGGTGACATCAGCATGGATAGACTCGTTGAGCATGCGAGAGAGGCATCTTAGAGTACTTTGAGTCGCTAGATATTGCATCAATCCATCACTCGGCCATATAGAACTGCCTTCTCCACCCTACAGTTTAACAGTAAGAGAGAACCACGTTTTAAAGAGAGACAGATATGCATCTCAAAGAAATAGCATGTTTGGTAAGATGGATTGGACATTTCTGGAAAGTGGAAAAGAAAAAAAATTAATTGTCCTGTCCAATCTTGTAAATGTTTTGTAACAAACACGTCCTTAGTGATTTTCATTCTTTCTTTTAGACTTTCCTGTTTGTGTAAAATCTAAGATCCCCTATGAATCAGGCTTCAGTCAAGGATGGCAGCTTATACGATAAGCACACTGGGCTACTAAGATTCATGTTTACAGGCACCTTCCTTAGTATTTAAATGATAAATATTATTTAGTAAACTTCTAAGAAAATTATAATGTTAGCAATGCTGATCCTAGACTTTGCTAGTTTCAAAAGGAAAAAAACAAGTTGACGTGATATCTCAGATAAGGTAAGAACTCAACAAGGATCTTTCCCCCAAGGGGTAAAGCACAACATAAACTCAATATCTATCCAAGAACAAATTTTGACGCAACGGAAAATTTAAGAAAAACTAACATTTAGAGGGTAGATCTTCAAGTCCAGAAACTCAACGTCAATGACGAATCGACCGTGAAAGGTAGAGTCAATGGGCCAGGCAAAGTCATCACTTGTTCGAAGCAGCCTCTCATGAACTACAGCAAAAGGATACATGAGTAGATGATTTCATGTATAGCAGCAAGAAAATGCACATAGACATCACACTAGATTTATTCGTTTTTAGCATGTTTGATAAAGTAGATTAAATACCAATTGCCAGTAATTGCAGGTAATTAATCGGAAAGGCATAAAGTTAAGGTTAAGGTAACTTGTACAAACTTTTATTTACCAAATTTATATTTTCCAAAAGCCCACGTTTATAAAACCGTTTCTAAACACTACCTTTTATCCATACATTTCGAGAGACCCACAAATATTATTCACTTGCCTACCACTCATTTCTAATTATTTATAATTTAAACTGTTTATAAACATTTTCCAAACATGCTTTTAGTGTCGATTTTGACTAAAAGAAAGACGTATTTAACAAAGTTATTTAAGATATTTTATAGGAAAACAAGGTCTTTAAACAAAAGAATTGAAACCTTAGGCTATGCTTCACTTTGCTCATTGTAGGAGTCTTTAAAAATACCTCTATTATATAATGGTGCAGAGAACAATCAATTTTTTAGCTGAGCTTAAAAGTTCACTTATTAAGTAAACAAGTTATTTATGTAAGTTAAGGGTTTCTTTTAGAAAAAGTAAATTATTTTACTTAAAAAACTAAGGCTGTGTTTGATTGCAAGCGTGGAACATGGGTGGAAAGAAAATGTTTTACAGGGAAAAGATTTTCTTAGAAAATGTTTTGCTGGGAATTGTAATTAAGTGTGTTTGATTGGTATAATTTTCCACCCGGAAAATTTTTAAAAGTTTGGATCTTTTTGTTCACGTTTGACTTTATTTTACATGGAAATTGTNATTTTTTCATCAAAGTTTAGTATTTTACATGGAAATTATCTATTAAAGTGAATTATTTTTTTTTTTTTTACAATTAGTTATGAAATTTGTCAACATCACAAAAAAAAAAAAAAAAAATTGGTGGCAGAACCTGGAAAAGGTTTTCCTACCAAGGCAAATGGCGCGTGAGAGGGAGGGGAGTGAAAAAATTTTCTTGGCAAAATTTTGCCCAGAAAACATTCCAATCGATCAGAAAAGGTGAACATAATCAATTAAATAAGAACAAACAAATTGAATTAAGCTATAATAGACCATAATAACAGCAGTAGCAGTAAAGTAAGCATAAGTTATTTATACTTGGAGATATGTACGGTCTTCGATTGGAACCAGAGGTGGTGACACGTAAGACGAAGCGCGCCAACGGCGGCTGCTCCTTCGACAGCCGCGACGGCTCCGGAAAAAGCCGTATGTACATGTACCTATTCTTCTCTACTGATAATTGCCTAGCATACCACGAAAAAAACACTTCAATATTCATCATCATCATCCAATTCACACATATACATATAACATACCAGTTCCACATGCCGATCTTGAAGGGGTCGGATCTTTTGTAATTGGTGGTTGTCCCGAAATTCTCGATCTTCCATTGAGCCAGTCGTGAAATGGTCTCCACCTTCGAGTCCACCATTTCTACGCTGAATTATGCGTGTTTCAGTCGCAGGAGAGATTGGATGTGAATTGTGAAGTCCACGCCTCACCCTCAGACCAAAAAGGCACGAGAACTTTTAAGTACTAAAATTAATTCCTCAATTTTCATTGTTATCGTAAAAAAAAAATGTTTCTACCTTGGCATTTTCATCATTATTTCAATCTTTCATTGCTCGAAAGGTTATTTTCATCAATTTTCTCAATTAAAAATTACAAAATGATGAAAATACTCATTCCTTTAAATAAAACAAAAGAAAAAAGAAAAAAATTAATTGCAATCATAGTCCCAATTTTTTTGAAAAGCACAAGTCCAAAATAAATTATTAAAAGGGTAATTAGTACATGGGAAATGCTATGTGTACATAATATTATACACAAAGTTTTACACCCCTCTCACATGGAGGGGGCCCACACACAATAAATTATTTGTGGGACCCCCTCCTTGTGAGAGAGGTGTAAGGGATTGTGTACACCTTGAGGTGTACACATAGCATTTTCCTTAGTACATAATGTCCTTATTTTTCACCTTTATTGCGAAAGATATCTATACCTTTCATTTTTTGACATTTTCAACCTTAATTACACATATGATCATGCAAACCACCATTTCATCCAATTTCTCAATAAATAAATGTGAAATAATGAATACACACTCATACTTAAATAAATTTTTTTTTAATTTCTAATTCTTTAATAATTTATTTAGGACTGCACTTTCTAATTTTTTTAAATTTTTAAATAAATTTAATTGAGACTCGTTTGCACTTTTCATAAAAAAATTAAAAATTTTTAATAATTTATTGGAGACTTGGTTGCACTTTAAAAAAAATTGGGACTATGATTGTAATTAATTCTTTAGCTTTTTATTTAAATATGATGGTATATTAGTCATCTCACTGTTTTTTATTGAGATATTGGATGAAATGGATAGAAATAATGGTTTGAACTATCAAATTATAATTAAGGGAGAAAATTCCCAAAAAAAATAAAAGGTATGGACGTTTTCCCAATAATAGTGAAATGTAGAGATATTATATGCTAATCACACTTTTAATAATTTATTTGAGACTCATTTGTGCTTTTCAAAAAAAGTTGGAACTATATTTGCAATTAAATTTTTTTTCTTTTTGTTTTATTTAAATGGAAGGGTATTTTCGTCATTTTATAATTTTTAATTGAGAAAATGGATAAAAATGATATTTTGCGCAATGAAATGTGAAAATAAGGGTGAAAATGTCAAAAAAAAAATATATATGAACGTTTTCTACAATAACAATGAAATGTGATGACGTTATGTGCTAATTACTCAATTAAAAATTGGTATTATACTTTATTATCACCTCTTCTTGTTCCAACAGTACTAAAATTAAAATATATTAAGTTGAAAATTGAAATGTAGGAATAGGTGTAATTTTCACATAAATAAAATATTTCAATTCCATGTCGTTTCCCCGTTAAGAGTATAAAATGGTAATTGGCACAATACTCTTATAACGTTTGCATGTTTAGTGAAATGTTCATCTTTCATTTTGACGCAAAACTCTGCTAAATTATTCAAATGTTGTGAAATACAACATTTTTGTCCTTTTTCCTTGTAAAATAACGAATATGCTCTCCTCCATATGTATATATATACATCAAAATATTCAAAGAGTATAAATGAGTCCTAATTGAAAAAATAATTAAATGAAAAATTGGGAAGAAGAAATGTTTTTCTATTTCTTTTTTTATTATTATTTTAACTATTTTTTAATTAGGACTCATTTGCACTTTTTAAAAATTTTGGGGTTATAGATACAATTAATTCTTTATATTTTTCTTCTTTTATTTAAAAATGAGGGCATATTCATCATTTTACAAGTAAAAAGGAAGAAAATGTGTATTCCACAACATTTGGGTGATTTAGGAGAATTTTACGCCAAAATAAAATGCAGGGGGGTATTCTACAAAATAGGCAGACTTTAGGGGGTTATTGTGCCAATTACTCAGTAAAATATAATGTTTGGTAAGAAATAAAATTTAGGATCGGGCACCATGTTCCACAACAAGACAAATAGGATGTTCTCTTGAACTAGTCCAACAAATTATGTACTATAAATTTATTCGAGAATAAGAGTCATTTCTCATTTCTTGTTGCCGTTGTATTTTATTGTCCAAATTGTCCCCAACTACATAAAATATTGCATTTTGCACTCGGAAGTCACAAAGATGGTGAAGAAGAATCAAATCATGTGGACTGTTCTAAATCATATAATGAAGAGTAATGCTATTCATTCTCACTGGAGTTACAAACACAGTTTAGGTGGCTCTAAATAATAGGTTAAATTTAATTTCACATTTCATTTAACCTATCATTTAGAGTTATCTAAATTGTGTTTGTAACTCCACTGATAATAAATAACATTACTCTATAATGAAATGAAGGGAAAGCCTTAGTAGGGTTGCTATTTTAGGCGTACTTTACAAGTAAGAACATGATATCATGACTAAATTAAATTGTTGTTGTTGACGACGACGACGACGACGACGAACTCATCTTGCTAAAGCAACCCTTTTAAAAAGAAATGAATTTGAAAGCAAAACAAAGCTGTACCCTTTTTTATTTCCAGCTACTTTTTCTTGATTCTTGAAGGATATGATGGGACCATCTTGAGCATTTACACTTATCTCTCTTTAAATTGTTTTTTTTTAAAGTAACTTTTAAGTATTAAATTATATTTTATAAAAGTTCGAGTTGTTAAAGAATAAGCTTTTTGTATTCGACACATCACAAAGGGTAGAGATTAGAATATTCATTTAATCATAAAAAAATTAACAGATGCACACTTTTAATTAATGGGTGTTAATGAGATTTGAGTTCAAAACTTTTGCCAGCTTCGATATAATGTCAAATGATGTTGTCTGAAAACTTGAGAAAAGTTTAATTTTTGTTTCAACTTCGTGTATTTTTCGCTCCCTCTCTTCGAGTGTCGTGTTGTTGTGCTTTATAAATGAAATTTTTATGTAAATGATTCATAATTCGAATAATAATTTTTATGTAAATTTGAGATAAGTATTGAGATAACTGAAAAAGGGCACCAATGAGTTCCTTGCACATGCATGCCAGTGTGCATCTAAGGAGATAAAAAGCAACTTTTATGATTAAAAATCTTTGCACTTGAAACATACTCCAAATTATTTTGGGGACAAGAGCATGTTTTATCATTTCATGCCAACTGAATTCTTTTGGAGAAAAAAGCAAATTATTTTCCCTTGAAGACAACAAGATCTACCAGAATATGAATGGCCCTCCTGCCTCTTTTGTTTCCTTGATAGGAGCATCAATTCATGTCTATTTTCTTGCAAAAGTGCCTATACACCTTATGTTTTGGAAATTATTTAAGAAAAAAAGAAAGAAATTAAAATTTTATTTATAATACTATTTAGCAGAGTGTACTAATTCTAATTCGTACCAAACATGTCTTTGAAGTTTTAAAAGTGCACGATTTAAGACAATGTATTCTCATATCTTTGACTCGCATAATGGATACTCTCGTTCTACTTATTGAATATCATTAAAACTCTCACTTTCGATCTTTTATGTACTTGGTTTCAATTATACAAAAACATAATTTATGTTTGAGTAAATTACACTTTGTCCCCTACATTTTGCCCTTCATTGCACTTTTATCCCAGCTTTTTTTTTTTTTTTTTTTTTTTTTTNTCCGTTTCATTCTTTATTTCAAACATTACATGAAATCAAAAGAATATTGATTACTTTCTGAAATTAAAATACTAAATTAGAATGAAATCAGAAAGAAGAAAGAGGACATGCAAGTGATGCGATTGGTCGATGCAAGTGTTTGACACTTTGTCTTTAAACCCTGTTTGAGCCACATTAAAATTTTCATTCTCATTCTTCTACTCATTTTCAACCACGCATTTTTTAATAAAATAATATTTTTCATTATATCAATAATTTTTCCTTTTTTTTCAACCACATATTCTCCATCACATCAACCAAAAAAATACATTCTTGGAGCAAAAATTTCCACCAAACAGGGGCTTAATTGTATTTCTTCTATGTCCTTCTCCGATCGAATTTTTAACGACCAAATAATATCATCGTGGCTTAAGAGTGGTATTAAGAAATAAAAATTGAAATTTCAAAATAAAACTACTCTCGCATACCCATAGTCTAAAGAATTTGAGCCGACCCGCATAATTGACCCAAGACCCATTTTAACTATACATAATACAATCTCATTTTATATAGTGTCATCACTTTGCATTTTCTTTAAGACAATTCCTCCTATAAACAAAATATTGAAGGAGTATTGGATAAAAAGCTCAAAACTCTCTTTTTCTTTTTGTGTACATTACCCTTTAATCTTTAGTCCTCTTTCTCAGTGTCTTTATCCATCCATATCTAACCTTTGACCTGTCTAGTTTTGTGCCCACGTGGCACACATTTCCTTTGCCGGACCTCTTCCATTTGATGAGCTGGAATAAGTTGCTAATCCGCTTTTGCCACCTCAGCGCTGTGCGCGGTTTCGATTGCTCTATAGCTACACTATTGATCTTGTTATTAGGCTTACTCCATTTTTTGTTCCAAGACATTTCACAGTTGTCTTCGAACTTGATTGTTATGAAAGAGTCTGCAATTTGTCACAATTTTTGACATAGATTGTAAAATCTCGAAAAAAAACAGGTTAATATAGGAATACCCGCAGATATTGGAAAAATGACAATTATTGTTAACCAAAGAAAATTATCCATGGTAAAGACAAGATACACTTGTGCCAGAAAAACCCGTTGTTGGTAAAAAAAAAAAATCAAATGGATTCAAGTAGAGTTTTATGGCATGTATCAATAAGCTAGTGCGAGTTGTTTCATACCATAAATAAACTCGAACGCTCAAGAAATTCGTTGGACAGGCGGATTCACATTCTTACAACCAACACAGTCCTCGATCCTTGGGCATAAGCAATTTGTTTAGCT